TAAAAGAGTGATTAAGTAAATACTGAAAGTAAGAAAAAATTAGTCAATCCCCAGCTGTTGGTGTTGTGAATGTAGCTAACATCATCAGACTTGTTATGACCATAATACTGTACTAAAGAAAAAAGAGGGAATACCAAGTCTTAAAACTTGTAACTCCTGAAGGAGTTACAAAATTGAAGGAGTTGATAGCAGCCGACCAGCAGGAACCTCCATTGTTGTGCAGACGACATCACTTGCCTATTTGTGGTTAATTTTGGTTAGTGTCTAAAGTCTCAGTGTCTCGCCCTGCTGGTTGTATGATATACCATCTCTCTCTCCCTATTTCAGTACCAGGAGATAGATATGGTTAGTAAATTTATCTAAATATCGCCAGGTAAACTCCAGAAGAGTTGTGTAGCCTAGTGAACCCCCCCCCCCCCGGTTTTTCTGAGGGACAAGCTAGTAAACAAGTACGCACATACAAACACACGTGTGCACCCGTAATTAAATTTTTATAATAAACATTAGTATATATTAATAAGGAATTGGTGATAAAAATAATCCTATAATCTTCAAAAAGTAAAGTAAGCGTAGTGTGCGGAGATCGGGTCGGGAGAGTAACCATGAAAACCAACAACAACGAAGATCGGGCCGGGAGAGGTACCGGTGAACCAACAACAACAAAGATCTGGGCCGGGGGAGTACCCGTGAACCAACAACAACAAAGATCTGGGCCGGGGGAGTAAACCCGTGAACCAACAACAACAAAGATCTGGGTCGGGAGAGTACCAGTGAACCAACAACAACAAAGATCTGGGCCGGGAGAGTACCGGTGAACCAACAACAACAAAGATCTGGGCCGGGAGAGTACCGGTGAACCAAGAACAATAACAAATAGTGCTAACGTGACCCCCCCCTTCTTTTTCAAAGAACGACAAGCTAGTAAACACACACACACACACAAGTGTACACAATATTATATAGTGTATATTAATAAGGAATTGATTGTGAAATTTTTTTTATGATCTTCAAAAGAGTAGCGTAGCCTAGTGTGCGCACGCACACCCACACACCCCCACACCCCCACACACCCCCACACCCCCACACACATCCCACACCCCCCACACACCCCCCACAACACACATTGCCAGACTCACACAAAACACTCCCCCCCTCCCCCACCGACATCTCACTCCTTCACCTGATCCCTCCCCTCCCTCTTTCACCCTCCCCCTTCCCACCTCTCCCTCCTTCCCCCTCTCCCTCTCCCACTCACCCACTTGCTTCACTCTCCTTCCCACCCCCCTTCCCCACTCTCTCCCACATAGCCACAGTTCCTCCTCTACCCCTCCCCCCCCTCACACTCTGACATACTCAATACTAACCTAACATACAGAATTACATAGGTTTCCCACTCTGAGGCAATCAGGATAAAACAAAAATGGGTTTTCCAGAGAGCAACAAGGAAAACCAAGGGACAGGGGGAGGAAACTGCAAAGGAAGAGTGGCAGCAGAGCTCACAAAAAGTGAATATGAATGGGAAAAAAACTAGAAGAACTTAGCAGAGAATGAAAGAGAGGATAGACATGGAAACAGGAAGTGGGGGGTGCAAGTCAAAGCAGCAGAGCCAGGATACAGAGTTTTAGAAGAGGAACTGAAAAATCTGAAACAGCCTAAAGAACTAAAGAACATTTTGGGATTGACAACAAGACTGCTACCTCAGTCACAAATAAGGGGGCTGTAGGGAAAGAAGGGGCAAAACAGCATGTAGAAGCTCAATCAGTGGAGAATGTAGTAAATGAAAGACCTAAGCTATATGTGGAGGCCCTAACAGACCACAGCAGAGCACAGGGAAAGCCGAGAAGGGAAAAGATAGGCCACTGAGGCCCAATACATTTTGCTAGTGAAACTGAAGAAAGGAAAGCTGCAATGGAGGAAATCATATTGAATGAGAGGATACACAGGATATGCAGTGGGAGAATGAAAGGTGAGGTCAGTCTTTGTGTATGGGCTCCAGGAAGTTGAAGGGAAACATATGAAGCCAGAAAACAAGGGAAAAAAAAGCAATTTAAAGAATCATGAAAGCAATAGGAGAAGACGACAAAGACCCAGCGGAAAATTTTCGGAGAATAGGGGGTATGTAAAAAAAAGAACCCGGCCAGTGAAAGTGACCTCAAGGCAGAATCGACTCGGAACAGGATCCTGCAGGAAAAAGCACGATTAAGGGACATGCCGGGATACAGGAAGGTGTATCTCGACCGCGACAGAACACAAGCAAAAGGCAAAACAGAGAGAGATGGTACAAAGGCGAAAGAGGAAAGAGAGGGATGGGGAAGAAAAGACAGGAGATCCCCAGACACAGGAAGATCAAATGCAGCCTCCCTCACAACTTCCTATAGAAGCCTCCCAACCAGGTCAACCCATGCAACCAAACACTCTAAACCAAAACACCATGCCACATCCAATGCCCGCAAGACTGGATCTTGTGTTCACCCTGAGCAGTTCAACATCGAGGACATCACTTTCGAGAGGCCCCTTGAGCTACGATCATGTGGTTCTGAGTTTTGACTATATAGTAGAGTTACAAGTGGAGAAGGTAACAGGAACTGAAGGGGACGGGCCCAAAACTATAAAAGGGGGACTACACGGGTATGAGAAACTTCCTGCAGGAGGTTCAGTGGGACAGAGAAATGGTAGGAAAATCAGTAAACGAGATGATGGAATATGTGGCAACAAAGTGCAAGGAGGCAGAGGAAAGTTTTTGTTCCCAAGGGAAACGGAAATAATAGGAAAACCAAAACGAGTCCTTGGTTTACCCGAAGGAGTAGGGAGGCAAAAACTAAGTGAAACCCAGAAAAAGGAAAAAGGGTACAGAGCATAGGACCCAGGAAAACAAGGAGATTAGTAAAGAGCCCAGAAACGAGTATGCACAGATAAGGAGGAGGCCCAGCGACAGTATGAAAACGACATAGCATCGAAAGTCAAATCTGACCCGAAACTGTTTGTAAAAGCCACATTAGGAGGAAGACAACAGTCAAGGACCAGGTGATAAGGCTGAGGAAAGACGGGGGAGAACTCACAAAAACGATCAAGAGGTATGTGAGGAGCTCAACACGAGATTTAAGGAAGTATTTTACAGTAGAAGACAGGAAAGGGCTCTTGGGACAGACCAGATGGGGACACCACAAGGAATACACCAACAAGTGTTGGACACAAAACAATACAGATAGGGGGAGTGAAGAAACTGCTAAGGGACACGATACCTCAAAGGCAATGGGACCCGACAACATCTCCCGTGGGTCCTTTGAGAGGGGCAGATAAGTTGTGCGTGCCACTTACCACAATCTTTAACACATCCCTGAAACTGGGCAACTACCTGAGGTATGGAAACGGCAAATGTAGTTCCCATTTTTAAAAAAGGAGACAGAAAAGAGGCACAAACTATAGACCTGTGTCATTGACGTGTATAGTATGCAAAATTATGGAGAAGATTATCAGGAGGAGAGTGGTGGAGCACTTGGGAACGGAACAGGATATAAATGCCAACCAGCACGGATTAAACGGAAGGCAAATCCTGTGTCACAAACCTTCTGGAGTTTTATGATAAAATAACAGAAGTAAGACAAGAGAGAGAGGGTGGTTGATTGCATCTTCTTGACTGCAAGAAGGCCTTTGACACAGTTCCTCACAAGAGATTAGTGCAGAAGCTAGAGCATCGGGCACATATAACAGGAAGGGCACTGCAATGGATCAGAGAATCCCTGACAGGGAGACAACAACGAGTCATGGTACGTAATGATGTATCACAGTGGGCACCTGTGACGAGGGGGGTCCCACAGGGTCGGTCCTAGGACCAGTGCATTTTTGGTATATGTGAACGACATGACGGAAAGGGTTAAAACTCAGAAGTGTCCCTGTTTGCAGATGATGTGAAGTTAATGAGGAGAATTAAATCTGATGAGGACCAGGCAGGACTTCAAAGAGACCTGGACAGACTGGACACACTGGTCCAGCAAATGGTTTCTCGAATTTAATCCTGCCAAATGCAAAGCCCATGAAGATGGGGGGGGCACAGAAGACCACAGACAGAGTATAGGCTAGGTGGCCAAAGACTGCAAACCTCACTCAAGGAGAAAGATCTTGGGGGAGTATAACACCGAGCATGTCTCCGGAAGCACACATCAATCAGAAAAACTGCGCAGCATAGGGGCGCCTGGAAAACCTTAGAACAGCATTCCGATACCTTAGTAAGGAATCATTCAAGACACTGTACACCGTGTATGTCAGGCCCATACTGGAGTATGCAGCACCTGTTTGGAACCCGCACTTGAAAAGCCCGTCAAGAAACTAGAGAAAGTACAAAGGGTTTTTGCGACAAGGTTAGTTCCAGAGCTAAGGGGAATGTCCTATGAAAAAGATTAAGGGAAATTGGCCTGACCACCTGAGGACGGGAGGGTCGGGGGAGACATGATAACGACATATAAAAATACTGCGTGGAATAGACAAGGTGGACAAAGACAGGATGTTCCAGGGAGGGGACACAGAAACAAGAGGCCACATTGGAAGTTGAAGACACAAATGAGTCAGAGAGATAGTAGGAAGTATTTCTTCAGTCATAGAGTTGTAAGGCAGGGGAATAGCCTAGAAAATGACGTAGTGGAGGCAGGAACCATACACATTTTAAGACGAGGTTTGATAAAGCTCATGGAGCGGGAAAGAGAGGGCCTAGTAGCAACCGGTGAAGAGGCGGGGGCCCGGAGCAAAGGGCCGACCCCTGCAACCACAAAATAGGTGAGTACAAATAGGTAGTACACACACACACACACACACACACACACACACACACACACACACACACATACACACACACACACACACACATACACACACACACACACACACACACACACACATACACACACACACACACAGACTCAGAAGCAGGACATAGTTGTATAATTATTACTAGCAGATATAAGAGCAAAATACATGATGTCACTATCGGTTTATATGTGAGGTACCTGTTCTTGCAGACACAGGAACACTCGTTCTCGTAGTAATTATGGATGTCAGAGTTACAGTGCTCCTCCTGCACCTTACAGGCACAAGCACATTCCACATGTTTGATGACTTCCACTGTGTGGTAGCTCACTTCGTTCTGACGACGACGACGATTTCCTCGACGCCTTGTCGTGCCTGAGGCAGCCACCGTCGTCTTCACCACCTGAAATATATTAAGTATTAGCTTGGGACGTCATGGTTTGCATTATATATAGAAATATATTTTGGATACTCTCGAGATGATACATAACGTAGAGAAATCTTAGCGTTCATTTTTAACTAATTACATAATAAAACTTTAATGCAAATTAAAAAAATTTTCTGTCGCTGGTTGATGAATGTAATGTAACAACAAAAACTTTCTCCCCCCATATACACAGTACCTGCAGTATCTACTCCACCAAAATACACAGTAACCCATACTTACTCCAACAATACACAGTAACCTGAGTACTTTCTCCACCTATACACTAACCTGCGTAACTATCCCCATATACACATAACCTGCAATCTTTCTCCCCATATACAAAATAACCTCATATCTACCCACCAATACACAGTAACCTGCATACTTTCCAACCAAACACAGAAACCCGGCAGTATCTTTTCTCCACCATAACAGATAACCTCATATCTTACTCCCCCCAAAACACAGTAACCTGATATCTTACTCCACCCTTACACATAACCGCGTATCTACTCCCCAATACACATAAACTGCATATCTACTCCACCATATACACATAACCTGCATATCTTACCCACCCTATACACAGTAACCTGCAGTATCTTACTCCACCAGATTAATAGTAACCTGGAGGGAGTAGTATCTTACTCCACCACTAATACGCTGTAATCTGCAGTAACTTACTCCACCATATACACCAATTTCCTGCTGTATTTACTCCTCCATATTCACATTAACTGGAGTATCTTACTCCACCATATATACAGAAACCTGCAGTACTTACTCAACCATATTCTCAGTATCCTGCTGTATTCCTCGCTCCGCATATACACAGTACTGAGTATCTTACTCACCATATTACACAGCAAAACCTGCAGAATGCTTGCTCCTCCATTTACCACCAGTATCTGCAGTATCATACTTCCCTTGTACACAGAAAAATGTAGTATCTTACTCCACCCATATACAGAGTAACCTGGAGTATCTTACTACACCATATGCACAGTAACGTGCAGTATCTTACTCCACCATATACACAGTAACCTGGAGTATCTTACTCCACCATATACAGAGTAACCTGGAGTATCTCTTATTCCTCCATATACACTCAGTAACTGGCCAGTATCTTACTCCACCATATACACAGTAACCTGCAGTATCTTACTCCACCATATACACAGTAACCTGCAGTATCTTACTCAACCATATACACAGTAACCTGCAGTATCTTACTCCACCATATACACAGTAACCTGCAGTATCTTACTCCCACATATACCACAGTAACCTGCAGTAGCTACTACACATAGATACACAGTAACCTGCAGTATATTACTCCTCCATTACACTGTTACCGGAAATATCTTACTCCACCTGTGCTAGTAACCTGCAGTATCTTACCTCAACATATACACAGTGACTTACAGTATCTTACTCATGATATGATCTGTAACCTCATGTTGATTTCTCACACTTATTACACAGTAACCTTCAGTATCTTACGCTCCACCATATAAACAGCAACCTGCAGTATTTTTTGCTCCTCCATATACAAAGTAACCTGCTGTATCTTACTCCACCTATACAGGTACTACTGCAGTTATCTTACTCCACCTTATTCAATTAATCCTGCAGTATCTTTGCTCCGCCATTTTCACAGTAACTTGGGAGTTTCTCTTACTCCTCCATATACACAGTAACCTGCAGTATATTATCTCCACCATATAAACCAGTAACCTGCAGTATATTGCGCCGAAATTGACTCAAGTTAACATGGAGTATTTATTTCTCCTCCATGTAAACAGCAACCTGCAGTAGTTCGCTCCACCATATACACAGTAACCTGCAGTATCTTACTTCACCATGTACACAGAAACTGTAGTATCTTACTCCACCAATTACAGACGGAACCTGGAGTTTCTTACTACACTCATATTTGCACAGGAAAGCTGCAGTATCTTTACTACACCATATCACACAGTTACCTGGAGTATATTACTCCTACCATTGACAGTAGTAACTGGAGTATCTTTATTCCCCATTTAAACAGTAACCTGCCTGTATATAGTATTCCACCATATTACACAGTAACCTGCAGTATCTTACTCCACAATTTTCACTGTATTCCTGCAGTATCATTACTCCACCACGATACACAAGTAACCTGCAAGTATCTTACATCACCATATACACAGTAGTTAACCTGCAGTTTCTTACTCTACCATATAACGCAGTAACTTTGCAGTAGCTTTCTACATCCTGTATTACACAGTAAACCTGCAGTATCTTATTCCTCAATATACACAGTAACTGAAATTTCATAATCTCCACATGTTTTTGCACTGTAACCTGCAAGTATATTACTCTCTATCATTTTCTCAGTGACTTACGGATCTTATCTCCACCTTAATGCCTCTCATTAACCTTGCTGTAGCTTACTCACCTTTTACACAGTACACGGCAGTATCTTAACTCCGACCATATACTCTGCAACTGCCATGTAGTTTGCTCCTCCATATACACAGTAACCTGCAGTATCTTATCTCCACCTTATACACAGTAACCTTACAGTTTCTTACTCCACCATATTACACAGTAACATGCAATGTATTTACTCCACCATTTACAACCAGTAACTGCAGTATCTTTCTCCCACCATATACTGAGTAACCTGGAGTATCTTACTCCCACCATATACGCAGTATCTGCACGTATCTTTCTCCACCTTATACACAATAACCTGGGGCCAAAGTATATTTACTCCACCTTATAAACAGTTAACCTGCAAGTATCTTACTCCCATATATCAGAGTAACCTGCAGTAGCTTTTATATTCCACATATTCACAGTAAAGTGCAGTATTAATCCACCATATACACAGTAACTGGAGTTCGTACTCCACCATATTCACAGCAACTGCAGTATCTTGCGCCACCTTATTCACAGTAACTGCTGTATCTTACTCCACCATATCACAGTAACATGCAGTTCCCTTTCTCCCCAATATACAGAGTATTCCTGGTGTTGCTTTACTCCTCCATAAGCCATAGTTATCGTGCAAGTAACTGGCGCCACGATTATACTCAGGAAACTGCTCAGTATCTGTGCTCCACTAATGCTCAGTATAACTGGTCGGGAGTAATCTTACTCCTCAATATACACTCAGTAACCTGCAAGTATCTTACTCCACCATATTGCACAGTAGTCACCTGCGGTATCTGCCTAAACAATTTTTACAGTTAAACTGCTGTATCTTACTCACCATTGACATAAAAAATTACCCCCAAAAGGGGTTAACCTGCAGTATCTTGCCCTCAGCATATACACTGCAACTTGCAGTTTCTCTACTCCACCATATTCATCAGTTACATTTGTATTCTTACTCCACCAATATACACAGTAAACTGTAACAGTATCTTTGATCCACCTTTTAATCCAGTCTACCTCGGCAGTATCTTACCTCCACCGTTATACACAGTAACCTGCAGTAATCTTACTCTCACCATATACACAGTTATCGTGGAGGTTCCCTTTCTCCCCATTACACAGTAACCTGCAGTATCTCTTCCACCAATACACAGTTAACGTGGAGTCTCCTTACTCCACCTTATACACTGTATTCCTGGAAGTACCATTACTCCACCATTATACACTTAACCGCAGCGTAGTTTCTTCCTCCACGTATAAACTGTAACCTGCGGTATCTTCTCCACATATACACAGGTAACCTGCAGATCTTACTCGACCATATGACACGCAGTAAACCTGCAGTAACCTTAATCCACATATACACAGAAACCTGCTGTATCTTACTCCATCCATATACACAGTAAACGTGGAGTATCTTACTCCAACCACATCGCACAGTTACCTGGCGTTTCTTATCCACCATATACACAGTAAACCTGCAGTATTTACTCCCCTTATACACAGGAAAATGCAGTATCTTACTCCAACATATACACAGTAAACCTGCAGTATATACTCCATATTCATATACACAGTAGCCTGCAGTATCTTACTCCACAATAAAACACAGTAACCTGCAGTTTTTACTCCACCATATACTCAGTTAAACGGGGAGTAACTTACTCCACTTCATACACTGTAACCTGCAGTTTCTTACTCCTCCATAATACAACAGATACTGCAGTACTCTTACTCCACCATATACACAGTAACCTGCAGTAGCTTACTGCACCATATGCACAGTAACCTGCAGTATCTTACTCCACCATATACACAGTAACCTGCAGTATCTTACTCCACCATATACACAGCAACCTGCAGTATCTTGCTCCACCATATACACAGTAACCTGCAGTATCTTACTCCACATTTATACAGAGTAACACTGGAGATATCTTACTCAACTATATGCACCAGTAACGTTGCAGTATCTTACTCTCATAAACCAGTTATACTGCAGTTCTCTACTCACATAGACTCTGTTACTTGCAGTATCTTACTCATCCTTATACACAGTAACCGCAGTGTATCTTACTCCTCCATATTTATACACAGTAACATGCAGTATCTTGAATTCCTCCATTTACACAGTAACCTGTTGTATCTTACTCCACCCATATGCAGGTGTAACCTGGAGTAATCTTAGACTCCACCATATTGCACAAGTAATGTGCTGTATCTTTCTCCACAATTACACAGTAACTGCAGTATTTACTCCACACTTATCAGTAACCTGGAGTATATTACTCCTCCATATTACACAGTTAACCTGCAGGTATTATTACTTCCTAACTCCATTTACTCAGTAACCTGCAGTTTCTGACTCCATCCTTATGACACAGTTAATCCTGCTGTATCTTACTCCACATTTCACAGTAACATGCAGTATCTTACTCCACCAATTTACACAGCAACCTGCCGTATCTTACTCCTCATATGCCACCAGCAACTGCAGTATGTTGCTCACCATATACACAGTAACCTGAAGTATCTTACTTCACCAGAAT